TGGCACCGGTCTTCACTGCCAGCTTTAATGGCACACACCTCCGGGGCTTGCCATGAATGGATTCCGATCCAAGACCCAATTCTACTGGAAAAATGAGTTTGATTGAGCTATAAATGTATTGAATGAGCTACAAAGCAGGCCCCACCTCCTGCCATACTATCATCTCTTTTCATGTTCCCTGGAGTAGAAAATGAGGGTTTGCATGATGAACAATAGCTGAGGTTGTTTAAGCTGAGTGCTTTGTCTCTAGGCATGATGTGTAAACCCAGGGGTATTAAATAATCCCAGTGTCTATGCCTTGCCTTGCCGCTTGTTGATATTTCTTTTTTTTTGTAGTGGTTAGAGAGACTTGGGTGGTTTCCACGAATCCTGGGAAAAAAAGCATTTGTAGCTGAGAACAGCAAGGCATTAAAACCCATATACTTTTCTTCTCTGTGTTTTTACCCTTGGCAGGGACCAGAGTTTACCACCAGGAGGAGAAGTGGAAAGCTGACTTTCAATCCCTTACTCACTGGAAACAGCATGGTTGGGGTTTTGGTACTGTAGCACCTCTCCCCAAGCTGTGAGCAGGATTTCGGGGGCTGTGGGTGGGAGTATGCCATCTCCCTCTCTCCTCTCCCTGTCCTCTACAAGACACAGGTGGAGGGTGCACTGGGAAATGAAAGGTCTGGGCCAAGGGAGTGTCTCAGGCTCACTACCCTGAGCCGTTCAGGGAGGATGGTGCATGGACAAGCCACTCTGGCCTGAGCCAACCCTCTCCAAGTGCGGCAGCAAGCCCACAACTTCTTTGCTTGCCAAAACCCTTGGCTTTCCCATCCCCAAACCCTGCTGCCCTATCTCCCTGCTTCTCCTACACCTCAGGCCAGCCCCAGGCTAGTAAATCCTCCTACAATGCACAATGGGCAAGTTTGATTGTGGAATTGCAAAGACTGGTAAAGAAGACCCTTCCTGTGGTTATGCCAGGTGCCCCCCAACACACACGTTTAATAAGGAGAGAAAGGAGGGAAAGTTGAAACAAAGATATTCTTGGAAATATTCCCACCACCTTTGTTATCTATCATACTATTGGAGGAACTTTAGTCAGGGGTAGTATCACTCAAATTCTTGAAATATTAAAAGTAAATGGTCTTGTGTTATTCCCAGATAAACAATCCAGTCCTCATCTCTCCAAACCAAAAGCTCCAGCGATGGTCTCATCATTTTAGCAAGCTCTGCCTCACTTACAAACAACACTTCTGGTTTATCTACACCCTCAGGCATTCATAGAATCATAAAATCATTTAGGCTGGAAAAGACCTTTAAGATCATCAAGTCCAACCATTAACCTAGCAATGCCAAGTCCACCACTAAACCATGTCCCTAAGCACCACGTCTACCCATCTTTTAAATACCTCCAGGGATGGAGACTCAACCACTTCCCTGGGCAGCCTGTGCCAGTGCCTGCCTATGCTTTCAGTGAAGAAGTTTTTCCTAATATCCAACCTAAACCTGCCCCCGCGCAGCTTGAGGCCATTTCCTCTCGTCCTATTGCTCATTACTTGGGAGAAGAGACCGACCCCCAAATTTGGACCCGTTGTCTTCACCTTGCCTCCGTAATACAGTCATTATGTTGATTATGAAAGTTTAGCAGTTATTTCCAGCCCAAAACTATCTAGGGAAAGGCATTTTGGTATATTCCTGGTTTGGCATTACTCATGTTCAGCAGAGAATTTTATAATCCTATTAAGAAAGGGGAAATATGCTGATTGTGTTTGTTTTGTTCTTCGGAAAAAAAAAAACCAAACCACCAACTGGGGTGTGGTTTCTGGTTTCTGGTTTCTGGTATTAAGTAGCCTTGAACAATGTGTGCTAGATGATTGGTTTCACATGCACATCTGAAATGTGATCTTCATTACATTATAAGGTTTTCAATGGAAGAATATATGCCAGCACCCTGCTTAAATCCTGTATTCTCCTTCAGTTTGGAGGGTTGGTTTTGGGGGGGTGACAACATACCTTACTTGTTTATAGTTTCAGTTGATCTTATCTGAGTCTTTAAGCATCACCTGAAATGTTTCCTCTTTTATGCACACACCATGCAATTGCCTTGCAGTGTTGGCAAGTCACCAAAGAAATAACACGAACTAATAGGAACATCCAAACAGCGTTTTGTTGAACTCCTGTTATTCTTTTGCGGGTAATCACAGCCTATTGTGTTGGGGGTTTTCCATTAACTACAGAGAAAAAAAATAAAAAGACACAAGCTGTATAAATCTGCCTCAACCACTCACAAGATGGATTTGAAAAAAAAGACATTTTTGTAGTGTATGTGTTGAAAGGCAAACTAGTAAAAGACTGCATTTCAACGCAGTTTGTTATCATAAATAAAGGGAAAAGTTGAGAGTCAAATGTTTACTTCCAGCCTGAGAAACCTGTGCCAAACCCCTCTCCTGTCTTACCTGGAGAGCTGAGATAGTCTCTGGGTGGAGGCATCTTCATCTGATGTGAGCACTCCTGCAACAGTTGCATCCATGCTGGAAAGAGTCTCCAAATCCCGTAACCTCCCAATAGACTGGCTCATATGGCTTAATTACCAGGCTGGGGAGGTCCTACTGGGAAATCCTAAGATATGTCCATCCACCTCCAGGGCAGAGTTTCAGGGACCGTGGGCTGCGTGTGTGTACTTAGAGAAGTGCAGGCATTGGTTTTGATTCAGAGCCTTCTTGATGTGATCATTTTAAACTCTCTATTTTCTTGATTCTAATCAGCTCTTCATATATCTCCTAGGAATCACACAGCTTTCCAGAGCAAATGTATTAGCAAAAGCTACGATGAGATTCAAAGGCAGATGTGGAGAGGTGCTGACATGACAGAGTCATATGCTAATGGAAGCTTTTGCTGCACACCTACAAGTAGGTTAAACCCAAAAACACTCCTGTAAGATGAGTAAATATTATTATCTCATTATCATATATAAGGAAGCTGAGATGCAGAGAGGTTAATTAGGCTCATGGAGCAAGGTAGTAGCAACTCCAGAAATAGAGCCAGCATTGTATTCCACATGGTTTAACCACCAGTTAATGCTCCTTTTTCATCAGTGCTCTTCTGCTATTTTTGTGCAACCTTGATAGGAGGCGCACGAGTTACTAGAAGCAACAGGAGTGAGTGCTGGCCTGAAAGCCACATACTTAGAGGTTTATTCTAAGCTCTGTCAATGATTTGCTAGCTGACCTTGGAAAATTAACCTCAGTTTCCCCATTTTAGATATTAAGTTAATGCATGTTGTAGGGTTGAACATAACTGCAATATCAGCTCTGTGTTAGAAAGCCTAAAGAGATTTCTTCAAACAATTCACAGTTTTCTCCTAGTAGCTTCAAAATAGTGTCAATGATGAAAGCCATTTAAGGAAGCCAACAGAAACGATGTTAGTGTAATCTGTAAACCCGCTGGTGTGCAGAGTGCCAGGGATTAAATTACCATGAACTTCACCTCTGATGCATCATGCCCCCCATCTGTCTCTCATACAAACCACAATTCTCCAGAGATAAGGGCCACTTCTCACCTAAAAGGGAGGAATTAAACAGCTATCTTTGTCCTCCTCCATTTTCTCCATTGATGAGGAACATCTTTAAAAGTTAAAGAGAAGCCTGGAAAAGCAAAGTAAAAAATAAACAGTGCCAAGCCTGAATCTGGCCTATCCCTATGAATAATGCATCAGGAATCCAACCTTGCAGCTCTCTTAGAGCCATTTCCACTCAGGCATCACTCATTAGCTCATTAGTCACAGCAGCCTTATTCCTACAAATTGATTTTACTACAATTCTCTACAATGTATGGCCAAGATCCAACACATTTCTGCCTGGCTTTAAAACCATTATACTGGCACATCTTTGCAAGACACTTCATCTCTCTCTCAAGCCTACTGAGCATGTAAAGGTCAGGTGATTCCTGGAACCGAGTTGTTGGAAGGTTCTCTTGGGGAAAGGGCATGTGTCCCCTCAATCTGACAAACCATGGGCTCAAAGCACCCTGCTGAGCAGAGAGTTGTGACTTTCACACCTGGTAGGAGGTCAGTCTGCTACAGACTGGAGCTACAGATGGGTACAGGAAAGCTTGGCAGATCACTCCACCCTGGTTCCCACCTTGGTACTGGACTGGGACATGAGGAATGCTGGTTAGTGCAGGACCTGGAACAGACAGATCAGACCACCGCAAGTATGAAGGGTTTCATTAACTCTGTTATTCTTCCCAAATTCCCACCAGACCTCACTATAGCTATCCCCTCTGCCCCAGGCATGTGTTGTATGCTGTGCCTGAGAATTAGTGATGCTTTGTATAGTCACCAGGACAGGAAGGTATAAGACTCCCTATAAAAATAAATCATCTTGTTCCCTGTATGTAATGATTCACCTGCCTTTTTTTTTCCAACCTTGTTTTTTTTTTTCTCTTTGAACTCAATGTAGGTACCTCTTATCTCTAAGTTATTAATTAGACTAAACTCTGTGTAGCACTTAACTCGTTCAGGGTGGGACTTTCATATTTATCACTTGCCTGGCCAGTGGCCAGAATATGGATACAGTGGTCCTATGGGGAAATGTTACAGGAGTTGATAACTACTAAAGCATGTTCATAATGTGCATAGAAAGGATTGATCATATATTTATAAGTAGTGAGAATTTGTCTTCCTTCCCTACCAAAGTTTTCTAGTTTCCTTTTTTTCTTTTTGCTTTCAAACCGGTATCTTTTCCCTTCCCATCAACCCTGACTGACTGAGGGAGTAATCACTTGTTTCCTCCAACCAGCTTTCCAAGGCATTGTTAATGATGCAGGAATGTAAATGATAGAATCATAAAATCATTTAGGCTGAAAAAGACCTTTAAGATCATCAAGTCCAACCGTTAACCCAGCGCTGCC